CATGTCTTTAAGTTACTCAGTGGGTGGAAAGAGCTTTGAAGTTACTCTTAAATCATGCTAGTGAAATAAAGACATGCTGACCATTTTGGTCATGGTGCAACCAGTGGTTTAAGGGAGAAAAAAAAAAACAATTGATTTGAAATATTCGCAGAAAAATGTATAAAACAAAAATGAATCACAAGTAAGAATAGAAGATAAATGTAATTTTGCCTGAATTGTAAAATATCCGACCTTTACAACATTTAATAGCTTCACATTTACAGTAAGCTGAATTGTTAACCTTTCATTTTCCTCATTACCAGGTAAAAATACCTCAGTCAATGATAATAGTAAAACATGTCACTGCTATTTTAATGAATAAAATGATGGTAACAACAATGCACATAATATTTTTGAGTGATTTTCATGTTATCACTGTGAAGCTGCTTTGATACAATCTGTATTGTGAAAAGCGCTATATAAATAAATGTGACTTGACTTGATTTCTTTCCTTCATCTACCTGAATAAATCCCTTTAATTATTTTGTCTATAATATTTTTAGTGAAGATGCTTTTTTATTTTAAGTTGACGCTCAAAAGTGTGTGAAATAACCTGTTTATATTTGACTAAATTAATTTGAATGAATTATATTACATTATTAAAAGACTGTATTACAGCACATAACCAAACTTGATACTGCACTAGTATTAAAGCAAAATGTTTACTCAATGATCATACCTACATATACATGCACGCCCTACTCTTCTGCACAATGGGAACGATCGAAACTTCAAGATAATAGAAACTCTTTCAAATGTCAAACATAACTTGTTTCGCTTTACTCAAAAACACGTAAAATAACACAACTTCAATATTTCCTCTCCATTACCAGCCATGCTGGGAACTAACAATGGTGTCTCTAAATAAAACCGCATAAATGTCTTATTTTTCTTAAAATAAAACCACATAAATCTCCCTTTTTCCTTAATTTTATCAGCTTAATCGGTTCCTCAATTCAAGCCTCAAAATTGTGCTTGTTTCCTTAAAAAAATAAGGAAAATGTATCTCTTGGTTTCATTAGTGAAATGTTCTCAATATTTCCCATGAATCAATTTTTACAGTGTGTGTTTGCATCTCACAAACGCGAAGCTGGACGCCGCGGCCTCACCTCGCCAGCCTCTTTCCCGCCTATTCACAGATTTGCGTCGTTCTCGAGCCTCATTTTGCCCACATAAGGAGACACCCATTTGAATACATACATAAGGACACGATTTCAGTCTAAGGGTTTCGGGTCAGTCCAGCATACGTATAATTGTATATCTTATTATTATGCTGCTCCGCGGATGCTAAATTGGCTCAGTGTGAATGTGGCGAATGAAGCCGTTCTGCAGCGACTGTGCTTGATATGAGCTAACCTTCAACATCTCCTGTCATTGCTGTGGTCTAAAGCTCCACACACAAAGAATGCCTCTTTAAACACTGAAAACTGATGCGAATCAGCCAGTTCAATCACGTATTCATATTGTTATTTCCGGTTATTCCTCCAAAGCTGCTGAAGGTGCCGGCCATGCATGCTGTATAACAATCAAAAAACTCAGTCTTGTACCTTTGTCTTTCTGTCCGATTGTCAAAGTTATTTTTTGCTTCAAATAAAAGGTTTTAATACTGTGATTCACCTTATATAGTTCATGGCAACTCTTAACAAAAACCTTTTTGAAACCCCTATTGGAAAAGTATTCCAGAATATAGGCAAATCTAAATCGAGACTGCTTATCCCAATCCTGCCTCATATCATGTTTGCAGAGATGTATAGTAACAAAGTAGGACTACTTAAGTACTAAAATGCTGTATCTGTCCTCTATAGAGTATTGTTTTTTTCTCATACTTCTACTTTTACTTCAGTAGATATTTTCGATGAATTTAATACTTTTACTTCGATATTTTTTTAATGTTCTGCTAGTTACTCGTTACAATTATAAACATTTTACGAATCATTCGTTGCAAGTTGGCTTTCATGCTGCCTAAATCACGCGCCAGTTTTATAGGGTAATGGTATTGATTGACACACACATTGACAACTAATGCAGGGGTTGTCCTGCAATGGCCGCCAAAGCAAATTTGTATCCCGCCAAAGCGCCTTATTTGATTGCTAGTTCAAACTTTTGACTGCTTTCTTTAATAATTATGACACAATATATGTACTTTTACTTTTAGTACTTAAGTACTGAATTTTAAAATAAACTACTTGCCATACTTAAATACAAAAAAATGTTGAATACTTTAGTACTTCTACTTAAGTGTGGTGCTTAAAGAGCACTTCAACTTCTACTCAAGTCACTTTTTTGATAGAGCACTTGCAACTTGTACTCAAGTCCGGGTTTCTAGTACTTTATTTTGCAAACAGATTCATTTATTGGTGAGTTTCTGTACGACGCCATAAATCGATGCATCGTTGAAGAAATCAAGTACTGTTCCTGAAACCGTATTGTAGCAAATTGGTCGTTCAACGACGTTGTTTAATGATGTAACGCAGGTGATGGAGTAATAACTTATATTAATGAATCTGTTTACAGACATGTCATTACAGTCATTTTTCTTTATTTCCAGATTCAATCATAGCGCAAAATGAACCTTTGGTCTAATAAAACATCGGTACCTAGTCGACCGTTCTCTGAGATTTGTTTTCATGATAATCGAATGTAAAGAGTTTTATCTCTAAAAACAGATTAGCGTATAACACTAGTATTTAGGGCAGAGCGTAACGAAAATTAAAAATTAAAAATTTAACACAGTAACATGTTCATTTTCTCACACAAATCGCTCGTTTCGTGTCTTAGGCCATCAATGTGTACTTACATTTACGAGTCATTAAATCATGTTTAATTTGGACTTCTCTGTGCATGCTCTGAGGTGGTGACCATAGACCTGCATTATATGACTGACAGACAAGAACGTTTTGACCTAAAAATATCAAAATTGAAACTACTGTGGAAACAAAGACATCTTGGATGCCTTAGAGGTAAAACCAAAAATTAATTTCAAAGTGAACTATCCCTTTAACCATATATAACCACAACGCAGTCATACAGACACAATGAGTGCTCTTTTTACGTGAAGACATGTCTCAGTCTCCGCTGCAGCGTGTTTTGGATGTAA